AAAAAAATAAAGATATTATAACAATTAAAATATTAAAAAGAGTAATGAAACAATTAAAATATCTTTAATGAATTTACATATAAAAAAGATTTATTAAAAATATTTAAATAATTTTATGACGATACATTTTGATACTCATTCTTCTCTTCTTTTTATTATGTTAGCATTTTTTTTAATAGATGTCAAAAAGCTAGTAAAATTTTAACTAAATCTCTTGTTTTATAATATAATTTGTATTAGATTGCAAAACTTAATATTAAGAGACTTTCTTTAATCTAAAGGATTATAATTTACTGTTTAATATAATCTTGATTATAAAATAATTTTTTTATCAAATTATCCATGGTATTCTTATTATTAAATTTGCTTGTAATAGTGGCTTAAATATCCTAACCCATCAACAATATCTTTAATTTGATAGCACAATTTTTTCTTCTTTCATCTTTCTTCCAATCAAATAAAGTATCCTCGAACCGGTTCTTTAGGCCTAATGGTTCGACCCCAATCCTTAAGTACTTGGGTGAAGTAGTAAGAGTTTCAAACTCTACCACCGTTGTGAACTTCACCAAAGAGCGATCCAATGGCCGCGCGCCTCATTTGAAAGGTGAAATGTTCACTAGGTTTGAGAATCGAATCTCTAATTACTAACAACTAATTCAAATTAACTTTTTAACCATTACTTTTGAAAAAAAAAAAAAAATATCCTCAAGGTTAGTAAAGGCCTCGAACTTCTTTTTTTTTTTGGTTTGGTTTAACCGGTGTTGAGGCCTAGCTTCTTCTTCTTTTTATATATTTTTAATATTTTTTTATATTTTCTTATATATTTATATATTTATATTTATTTTTTATTTTTCATTTTAAATAATGAAGCATACAGTAATAATTCTTTACTTTTAAAATTTCTTTTCACTAATTTCAAGATTCTAATTAAAAACTTTTAACATAAAAATTTAAATTCTTAATGTTAAAAAATCACATAGAACAGGTTTTTTAATGTTAAGAAGCTAGAAGAGTGTTTTATTTGCTGATAAAGAGAACTCCCAAAATCTATTTACACAAAATGGCTTTTATTTGTTGGAACATATGGAAGAACCAATGTTAACACGTAAAGGAACTAGAAGCTCTAAAGTCATTCAATAATTTCAACATGCCACGTCTAACAGAAGATGGAAGATCCGAAAGAAACAGAACAGAGCCTTTTAAAGACGGAAGCAACCAGATGCACTAAAATAAACTGTGATGCTTCATTAAAACCCTGTTCTGGGGATGCAGCTTCTGGAACAATTTGGGGGAAAATGATAACAGGAAAAGAAGATCTCATGACAAACTACTCAGTAGAATGAGCAGAGACTTTAGCTGTTAGAGATGGCTTGTGAAACCGATGACTCCACCATAGCTGCCACTCTCCCTAAACCAAAGCTAGCTAACTGGGATATCTACATCCTATCATTCTTGACACTGTCTGCTTGTCTAAAAAATTTGAGAGCAGCAACAACCTGGATTCCAACAAGCATCAGAAAGAGGTTGTGCATTGGGGACTGTACAGGCACCCCCTTCCTCTTTAACCCATGTTCTCACCTGTGATTTCTTAGCTTCTGTTCAGAGCTCTGACTTTGGGGACTAATTAGCTTTCTCTATCCCCCGGCTGTAGCTTTGTCTTTCTCTCTGTTTTCATGGCCAAAAAGAAGCTGAAACAAAATAATTCATAAGAAATAATATCCTCACTAAACCTTAATGGACGACATTCAAAAGGTGGGGGAGAAACCATAATAAAAGTTTAGTTCTTTTTAGGATGAATACACCATAAATCCACTAACTGCCATATCACCATAAAAAAACAATTCAACAGATGAGATCAATATCTCATACGGTTTCTGCTTCTGCAGCTTCAACTTTCATCAATTAAAAGGTGTATTAATGGAATGAGGGCGATAACCCAGTGAATTGCTGGGTGAAGAAGCCGAAAAATACAGAATATTTGCAACACTCATTGAATAAGGATCGTGTTCACAGCTTACATTTACAAAATCAGCTCCCAGTAAAAAGCACTCATGTATTTATCTAGAAGTTAAAAAGAAGAATAATAATTACCTACCTAAACTATAACTACCCAGATTCTGTCAATCCAACATTTAACATGTTATAAAGTAATAGACCAAATGTCGCCAACCTGCAATGGCTCCACTCCTGTAGTTTCCACATATGGATAGCTGGCTCTGGTATGGTTTTGAGGCTCTGTGCCAATATACCCTCCTGCATATAGGCATTGCCGTCTGAATTAAGCACTCTGTTGATAAAATAGAATTGTGTGAAATGAAGTCAGTTCCCTTGCCAAATTATTAATTTCAACGGAGCAATATATAGTTTCCAAATAAAAACTCAAAAACCAGAACAAATAGATGACACAGTGTGGCAATTTACAAAATTAATATGGTAATATACAAACAATAATTTCACAAAGAAAGAGGTTGCTTACAATTATCAGAGTCGCTCACGGATGTAGACCATTGATCTCAACATAGAACCCAATGTATCTCTTGATACTTGAAATTTCACTTCTGTTTCTCCAGTAGTTGTTGTTGTATCTTGAAGCTGAGTAAAACATTGAAGTAATGAGTCCAAAAAATCACTGTATATTGCTGTACAGGAAAGCAAGAATCTAGAGGCTCAAACTCCTCCAGCTTTCAGGCAAGCTCTAGGCTCACTCCTTAATGATTGGAATATATGGTACAGAAGCCTACACAACATGCAGAGTGGATTTTTTTGGAAATCAGTAGTTCATTGCTTCAATTGAAAATAAAGGGGACAGAAGGACAAACAAGCAATATTGCAACTATTTTCACCTTCAGATTTATGACAGCAACTCTATTGGTGGGTGTTGAGAGCTGCTGACTGATGTAGGCCATTGATCTCAGCATAGGCTCTAGTGTGACCTTTGTTAGCCTAAATTGCACTTCTGTCTCTCCTGATGGATTCTTGGCATAGTCTTGCAGCTTGAGAAAAGGTAGAGAAAAGGGAAAAGAAATCACAACTATGAAATGCTTGTTTGGTTAATTTGCAAACTGAGATCAATACAATAAAGTAAATATCCTTCATGGCTTCACATTTCTCATTAGTGATATTGGGGATGGGAGAATTGTCGAGGATAGGACCAAACACACAGAAGGAACTATTAACTAAATCAGCATCACAGAGGGCAATTATTACCTTCAAGTTTATGACAGCTACTTTACCAGCTGGAGTTGCACTCTTATTTTCTATGATCCAAGTCATGGACTTAAAGTAAGTAAGAACCACCTACACCACAAGCAAAGATACTTGTAAATTTAAAATAGCAAGATACTTGTAAAGTTAAAATAGCAAGGTTCCCATTTTCTTAAAAATGAGCAGATGGTAAATTCTATCCTTTTTCATACCGTACTATCAGGATGGCCACTGTCATGTTGAATAGACACGGGACCCATGCTGTGTTGATTTAGATCAGAAACAGGAACACCAACATCATTAAGATTGAAGCAGTGAGGAGCTGAATCTTGCCACGGCCACAAGGATGGAACCATGTCAGAGACTGGTGGAGGTGTTTTATTGTTATCATCTTTGTGAATATGTCCACTACCCTGAGAGCTAGGTGTGACTTTAGCTACATTCTTCTTCATAGCAGCAATCTTTCTCCCAGCCTCTCTAAGAGAACTAATGGCAGCATTATATGTTTCATTAGCAATTGCCCCTTCCTCTGCATACTTAATGGCTTCCCGGCATAAGTTATTGAAGCGCATGGTTAGAGTCTCAATACCATGAGGGTCTGTTTTCTGCTCATCTACCTCAACCCAACATTTGGCATTCCTTGTCCATCGCTTCAATATATAATGAGCTGGGAGGGTGAGGACATTTGTCACTGTGAAGACAGTCAATATGTGTCGACAGAGAATGCCCGAGTATTCAAACATCTGGCAGCTACAACTGGTTTTCATCTCAGAAACATCCAACATGACTATGTATGCCTTGTGATCATGCTCATATTTTGCAACCCTGTACTTACCGACTACCCCATCACCCTCAATCTTGTTTGCAGTATACACAAAAGTTTCAACTAGTTCCTCCTGAAACTTTGCAAAAACTTTCTTTGTATAAAGGCTTGATGCCTGTTGTTCCATTGGTGATGGTGTCTTCAGTATCGGTGTGGTGCATATTGTATCATAATCAGCTTCTATTTCCTTCTCTAGAGAATGTTCTAGAGCCCTCTCATACTGCTTGAAAAACATTGGTATGGTAGTTTGGTGATTCACATACCCGTCCAAAAAGGAGGTAACTCCTTGGTTTGAAGAAAGTGCAGCAAAGAAAGTGCCATGAAAATAAACTGGGGCCCACTGTTTACGAGCATTGTACACTGCCTGAAGCCACTCATTCTTTTGGAGATCATACTTATCAAGAAGAGAGCACCAAGATGATTCAAAATCTTCAATTGTCTCAGAGAAGTTTATGCAGGTATAAAGCTCACCATAGAACGAAGGATGAGCAAGATATATATGCGCCAACCTTTCTTGGCCCTCTCTCAAGATGTGCCACTTGCAAATGCAGTGGTGAGTTTCTGGAAACACCTGTGCTACTGCTGCTTGAATGGCTCGATCTTGATCTGTGGTAAATGAAACAGGATGCCGATCATTCATTGCAGATAGCCATGTCTGAAACAACCATGTAAAGGAAGACTCGGACTCCTCTAGCAGTAATGCACAACCAAACAACACTGTCTGGCCATGATGATTTACACCAGTGAATGGAGCAAATGGAACCTGATAATGGTTTGGTCTGTACATGGTGTCAAAAATAACTGCATCTCCAAAGTAATTATAAGCTGTCCTTGATCTTGCATCAGCCCAGAAAACATTAGTCATTCGATTATCGTCATCAAGCTGTATTGCATAAAAGAAGCCAGGGTTTTCAGCTTGCATCTTCTTGAAATAGCTTAGAAGATTTTGAGCGTCTCTACCTAGGGTTCTCTTTCTGCTGAGAGCTCTAACATGGTTTGTAGGCCCAAAATTCTTAACAGAGCAACTAGGTTCAACAGGGGAGGCACTCCTAACATGATTTGGATCATAAGAACCATTGTTTCCATCTACTGAAACATCCAATGTTTCAGGAGAATTCTTTGTGGCTCCAGCAAAATGCCTACGAGGATGAAGGTAGCGGACCTTACTAGGAGTCGTCATAGAATGGTTATGGTCCTCTATGAATTTAGTTACAATCCACTTTTCTGTGTCCTTCCTCTCTAGTCTAAGCATTGCATTGCAGCTTTCAACATTCTTCCTCTTAAAAACCTCCCTGGAACATGAAAAATCCCAAGTTGCAATTGGCCCATCAGGTTTATTGCGAGTGAACTGGCCAACATGGGTGCTAAAACCCACATGCCTAGCATATTCATCATAGAAATTCTTGGCTGCCTCTTCCGACTTGAATTCCATGCCCACATGCGGTTTAGCTCCCCCATTGTCATCATGATTAACTATCTCAAACACTGTTGAATTCCTAGTCACATTCTGTTCATCAGCCTTACTGGCGTCAGCATTTACTGCCAGAGGATTATCCCCCTTTTCTTGCCCTACCTCTACCACTTCAGCATCCATGTCTGTCGCATGTAAGACACCAATTCACGTATCATTTTTCTTTCTTCTCAATGCTATATACAGTTCCTCAGTTTTATCTCCACATAAACCAGAGATAAAGCACCCTACATCACGAATGTACCTAACTGAGGACTGTGCTGAGCCATAACATCACTAAATGAAAAAAAAAAAAAGAACAAAAGTTATTTAGAAATACGGAGCAACAATGAACAAGACATTCGAAACGATTACAATAAGTTTCAGGACACATTAACATTTCGTCTATGGAGGGGGGGGAAAAAAAAACCTTCTTTCATACATAGTCTAATTGCCCAAGAACAGACTTGGGCAATTTTTTTTTTTTCAAATGCCAGAACTAGAAGTGATAAATGAACTGGGGAAAGCACCCCAACACTAAAATTAAACAAAAAGAATGATGAGCAAAAGTGCAGAATCCAAAATTGCAAAAATTTACTATTATATTAAAAAAGATTGGAACTTTCATATACCAACTATCATCAGCAATTAAGCATGAAACTTACTCTGAAGAACTCTGCTGCTTTGACTTTGTCTCTTCCTCAAGCAGCTTATCAATCCAATCGGTGTACCAAAGGTTTCACCTTTAACCTAACCCTAGACTGAAAAACTGATAGATTGCCGATTTAACTGATAATTTTATTTTATTTTATTTTAATTTTTTATGAATAAGAAGGGAATGAAAATGGAAACTGGAAACTGGAAACTGGGGATGGACGAATGATGACGAATTTTAAAATCTTTCTCATCGAAAAAAAAAAGTTATTTCATTAGAAAAAAAAAAAAGTACAGTACAATTGAAGCGTACTGAACTACACTAATAAAAGGGAGTTTTTAATATTGAAATTTTTTTATCAAGACTTTTTATTTTACACTTTATTACAGTATATCAAATGTAAAATAAAATTAACAATTCATTAATTCATTTTCATGGGGAAGAGTTGGGGTTGGACAAAGCTGTAGCCCAACCCAAAAAATACTTTTCATTTTCATTTTATAGATATCTCCACCGGACTGAGGACTGACCAAGTGATGTATATCATATCATGGGCTTTAAAGCTGTAGTCCAACCCATATATATAACCTTAGGCTGTCCCTTAATAACTGCAAAACCAACAAAATGCTGCCTGGCCCTACATAGCTGTCAGGTAGTCACTGTTCTTCATATCATTTTCTTTTCTTTTTTTTAAGAATAAAAGAGAATTTTTCAGGAAAAAATAAAATAAAATATGAGAATAGAACCCAAGTTATTTATATATAATTACACACTTTTAAAGGGATATGCATTAGGTCATATAGTGTTGAACCATATCGTTGTCCATTTGAAAGTTATGTTCTAAGAATATTATATAGAACAAACATGATAAATGCAGTTGAATCAAAATGAAATAATATTCAAGTAAAATGAAGAGATGGTAACCAACCTTGCATTAAAAATAAAAATGAAAGGAAAACTATCACAAAGTAGAGAATAGTAGACACACCAGCTTCGCACCTGCCTCTGTGCATGGCAGTAGTTATGTTTTCATGCTTCTTCCATAAATGATAATCATTACCACCTAGAAAAATAAAAAAATTTTCAAAAGCATTGTAAGTTCATATTTTTTTCACTTAATGCACATGAAAAGACATAGCAAATGACAACTCCGGTTTATTTCTTGAGTAAATATAGCCAAAACTCAAAATAGAAAGAATTATACATTTCAATCTTATGCTTTTCCATTTTTAAGACTAAAAAGAGGAAACCTCTCATTCTTTCGGAAGTCTTTCCTAAAGAAAAAAGAGATCCAAATTTCAGATTTCAAATTCTCCTTCTCTTTGTTACCTCAGCAAGCAAGCATGATGCAATAAACTATCTTTTTTCACCTGAGAGAAAACAGAATCAACCCTAACCCAAATGCATTTCAATGTGGTGACGTTTTTGGAAAGTGAAGAGAGATTGACATCATGAAGAAATCCATTTGCTTCTAAAAGTGCTGATATACTATTTTCCCTTTTTCATTTATGTTTAATGAAAGTAAGAGGAATTCTTCTTGTAAAAATTTAACAAAAAAGAAGCAAGAGGAATTCTTTATGCAGTTATATAAATCAAAAAAGAAGATGAAAACAATTGAGAATCAACTTAGCAAATCCTGAGCAGAAATAACTAGCAACTCCTTACCTGTTATTTTCAAAAAGCAAACCCAGCCAATCGAGGGTGGAAATAGCAAACCTTTGAAGGAATAGGAAATCCGCTAGGTAAGCAATCCAAATTCACAATTTGTTTCATGTTGGAGTAAAAGAAACAAGATCCCCGAATGAAACCGTCATAGAGGAGGTGGGATTAGATGATATTAAGGATACCCAGATCTAAATACCCACACGTGATGGAGAAGCTAGCCCAAAAGAGATCCGAGAGGACAACATACCTGTTCGCCGCCATGATGTCCAGTTTCGACATCACTTCCTTGGCCATTATGTCTTTACTACAGTTTTTCTTGGCAAATGGAGGTATATTCCTTCTCTTACCCTTCCTATTTTCCTTATAATATACAGCGGTTGAATTCTGAAATCGGATTCTCTTTGGTTTAAAAAGGGTTGAGAGAAGGAAAGAAAGAAAGCGGAGATCAAAGAGGCAAAGAAAGAGTTGAAACTTGAAAGCACTCAAACTCTCCAAATAGACAAGTTAAAGAATCCCAACTAACATTAGTATTTGCAGAGAAAAGCAAACGCACAAAGAGAATCTGTAAGCAACTTAATATATTAAAGAGTGTTTAGAGCATAAAAACAACACAAATGATATTAATAGCAGCCTAAGAGAATGATTGAAAAACGTGCAGCCAACCACTTGTGTATATATATAGAAAAAAGGGGAGAAGATAGCCAAGTTTTGTACTTGGGTTCCTAGCCCGGATTCTAAAAAGTACACCTCTCAGCCATGTGCTGGATTCAATTCAGTCCAGCTCACATTTGTAATTGTTCAAAAAAAGAAAGCAGACTATCGTATCAACTAGATCAGAAATGATTAAATATGCAGTAAATGCACTTTCTGACGAACTGAACTCCATATCGTTAACTCCAACAAACCATATAGGCTCAGGAATAATCATACAGCGATATACTCTTGTCATCAGAAACACTAGCAAGCCGTCCAGCAGCACGAACACCAGGTCGAAATGCCACTCCCCAGACCTGGTCTGTGTGATTGCTCATTGTCTGCAGGGCCGCTCTCATCCTAAGGTCCCATAGTCGTACAGTTTTATCACTTGAGCCAGTTGCAATAGCCTCTCCATCTGGGCTTGCATCCACGCTCAACACCCAGCTTGCATGACCTGACATGGCCCCAATCAGAGATTTCCCCTCGACATCATAAATGTGTACGTGTGCATCATCTGAGGCAGAGAAGAGCTTTCTTGAATCATTAGGAGAAAACACAAGAGACCTCACAGGCATGTAATGGCCTGCAAGGTGATGTAGAAATTTTCCTCGAGCTACATCAAAAACTGAAATGGTGCCATCCATTGAACCACAAGCAAGACGTTTTCCATCAGGGCTCCATGCAACAGAGAGCACAAACTTCTTGCTGCCGCTTTTGTCAGAAGGCTTGGATACTTCTGGACGAGGAATTGATAAAGTGGCAGTCAACCTCCATGTAGCAGTATCCCAGAGCTTGATTGATGCACTGCCACCACCAGCAACTGCAAGAGTGGTACCCTGATGAAGGGAGCTGATATTTATTAATTATTAGTATGCAGTGAAAATCAAATTTTGGAGCATTAAAACCTAAAGGACTTCATAACTTTCGATTAATCCCAAGGAATTCTCACAACAATGAACCTACCCTATATTCAAATAAATTAATATTAGTTTGATGTTAAAAGTATAAAAGTTTTCGCCATTCAGGACTGAAAAACCAATTCCCTTTAAAGTAAGAACCATAACCAGTCATTATGTGCAGTAATGTTTCAACAGAAGCTTATAGACTGATTGATGATCTCATTAACTTGTTAAAGCCTTAATTCAGAACCAGGCTTTAAAACACCCAAGCATTCTAAAACTCTAATTTAAAAAAATAAATAAATAAATAAAAAATTGCACAGTGATGTAGAGGTACCTAATTACAATAACAAAGGTGAAAATGCAGAGGTCAGATTAAAAAGTTATCCATCAGGAATAAGTTAAAATGAGGTCTTCTAATAGAAAAGGTATCAAAAAGTTTTGATCGCAGAACAAGCTTAGTTTCATCTAATGTCAAATTTCTTAGTTAGAAAAAAAAAAAAAAATTCTAACTGTTGCATCACAACTATTCATTCATTTAGATGGTAAAAGATAATTAATTCAATCAACAAATTCTCTTAGAAAGGTAAAATTGCAAAGAAGCTCAGCTTAGTCATCTAACAGAGCCTTAACTTAACCCACCACAGGCAGACTGCTACCTCATAACAATCAAACACAGATTTGGAGGTCAAAAATCCGAAAGTTTTGTATTAAACTATCCGCTTGCAAAGCTAATTATGAATAAATCTAACAAAAAGAGTTCAATTCATAGCTTATTTTGCTTCTCCGCCAAACATCTATCTATTCAGGAATTCATAAACAAGAAGCTCTGAAGAATCAAGAGAGAAGCTAAAAATTACCTTAGCATCGAACCGCATTTGCCAGACTTCAGAGGGAGGAGCCTCGAGACTGGCGATGGTAGCGTTGGTATCGACATCGAAGACCCGAACCAAGCTGTCAATTGAGGCGGAGGCAGCGATTACGCCAGAGGGATGAGCAGCGACAGAAACGACACCGAGGCAGTGACCGGTGTTGGTGCGTTCCAGCACGAGGTCGTCGGACTTCCAAAACCTGACAGTCTCGTCGAGAGATCCGGTCATGAGGAGTGCAGGTCGGGCTTCGGTGGCCGGGACCCAAGCGGCGGCCCACACTGAGTCATCATGTGCGTTTTCGATGGATTTCAGGCCTGCGAGCTTCATTTGATTTTGCCCTCTCTGAACTCTGAACACTGCACTCCGAACTAAGCGGCAAAAACCTACGTGAGCACTTTACCTTAACTGAATTTATACGTTTAACCTTTAGCTTATATTATGAACATTTTTATTATCTCATTTTTACAAATGGAAGAAAATATCCTTTTACTTTTATAAATT